ATTTTGTATAATTTGTATAGCAATCTGAGCTAACTGAACTTTTTTGGTCTTTTGAGAAAGGCTTTCATTATGCAGTTGAGGCTGGCTTTGAACTCACTTAGTAGCCCAGGCTAGCCTTGAACTTATAGCAATCTCCCTGCTTCAGCCTCCTGAGTGCTGGGATTACAGGCATGCACCACCATGCCTAATGGATGTGTATAATTTGTTTTAAATCTGAAAAATATTTGTGAGGATGTGGGGAAATTGGAATCCTTTTATATCACTGGTGTGGATATAAAATGCACCAGCCACTGTGAAAACAGTTTGACATTTTCTTAAATTGTTAAAACATGGAATTACTATATCACCTAGCTATTCTACGCCTAGCTGTACATCCAAAAATAATGAAAGAGGGGTACAAACAGGTATTTGTGTGCCCCTGTTAATGGAATTATTCACAGTCAAAAGGTAAAAGCAGCCCGACGGTCCCTTAACAAATGACTACATAAACACAATGTGGTATGCACAGACAATGAAATATAAACATTAGCTATAAAAAGGAGGGAAATTTGATAAATGTTTCTACACAAAGTTTGAAAACATTATCACTCAGTGAAATTATATAGACACAGAAGGATAAATAGTGTATGCTTACGCGAAGTACTTGGAATAGTGGAAGCCATAGAGACAGAAGGTAGAACACAGGTTGCTAGGGGAATGGGAAGAGTGAAGGTATAAGTATAGTTTAAAGGTGCAGTTTTGGGATGAATGATGAAGTATTGGGTAGGCTTAGTGATGCTTACATTGTATTGTGAATACATTAGGTATGCTTTCACACACACGCATGCACACCCACCTGTCTGCAGGCGCACAAGTGCACCAAAATGCACTATTGATTTCATTGATGTCTTTAAGTATTAGTGGGAAAAATTTTTATATCAGGTTGATAGCAATAAACAGTTTCCAAAATCTCATTTTTGCTTGAAAACTGAAATTTTATCATTGGGAACAAATAGCTAGTTGTTCTTATTGATGTTAAAAACTCATTTTTATCATTGTCAAAGATTTCATATGGCAAATCATGATGTCTAAATAATAACTACAGTTTGTCGGCTGATCTTCCATTGTACTTCCTTTTTCTTTTGCACCAAATCTCCCTATGTAGTTCAGACTGGCCTTGAACTCACCATGTAGCCTAGGCTGGCCTTGAGCTTGCAGCAGTTCTGCCTCAGCCTCCCAAATGCTGAGATTGCAGGCATGCATCACCTGCTTGACATGGTACAATCTCCGTTGTACTTTAATATGTTACAAAAGTATATTTTCTGTCCCATCATAGAAATTGTGGTAAGAAACATGCAACCTAAAATCTATCATCTTAACCATCTCTACATGTACAGTTCAGTGTATCCACATAGTTGTTAAACAGATATCCAGAACATTTTCATCTTGGAAAACCAGATTCCATTGTACTATTAAAACACACACACACACACACACACACACACACACACACACACACACA